GAGAAAATAATCTGGCATTGATAGCAAATAAACTAGTTGATTTGATCGGCCTTTTAGATCTTAAAATCCACTGGTCACATGAAACAAGAAGAGATGTTTTCTTTTGACTTTATTTTTGCATGCTTTAGGTATTGTCATTTATGTGTAAGAGAAGCAAGATAGTTTCATGGCAACATTCTATAAGTCCCACTTGCGGTAGGCTCTTTGCCAGACAAAACTATAAAAAAGTAGGCTTTCTTTTTTACTATGTGCTTTCCCTTTTACTATATACTATAATTTTCCTAATAATTTGGTAAATTTGAAAAAAAATTATACACACAAAATTATTGTGGAGTTTCACTCTATGTACTAGGTAGGTTCTTGAAAAAGTATACTATATAAAATAAAAGCAGGGACAGAAAGAGGTTGGATACTTGAAAAACATAGGAAAGATGCCAAAACCTAATTTATACAGAAAGGAAGCTTTTGTTGGCGGTGGAGATGGGAAATATTGTGACTACAGGTGAAACATAACAACAACAACAAAAAGACAAATCTGAGGGGGCAAGGGCAGGTGTAAGAGTGCTCAGGAAAATTCAAAGTCAAAATCCATAGGAGTTGACGAAGCATGGGAACTATGGGAACTACAGCGGGTATTTAATTGCTGGAGACCTTTTTTTCTTTTCTTTTGATTTGTTCAAATGCTCTAGAAATACTTGCAGGTTCAGCATAAAGGACTCAGAGTCTTCACATTTTTTTATTCCAGTGATATTATTTATCTGACAGAATATCTGGTCTTGCCCAGTTTATGGAAAAAAACATGATTTGTAGAATGACAAGGCGAGATGACCACAGATAAAAGAGGGAGATTTGAAATGACGTTTGGTCTTTCCTTTCTTCATACTCTAGCCAGTAAATTCTATGCAAACTGTTACTAACTGATTACTGTGAAAAGGAAAATAACTTTATTTCATAAACTATATTAATGTAATATACTTATTAAAAGAGAAGAATTTGTGACCCAAATAAGATAGATGGTTTTAGAAAAATTACATAATATTTTAAATTAAACAACTGCGTATCATTCCTCTGTTCATTCCTATATTTTTGGCTAAATGCTTTTGGTTATCTTTTTTCTTTTTTTTCTTGTTGAAAATACACACAGCAAAACATGCACCAATTCAACAACTTCTACATGTACAATTCAGTGACACTGATTTATATTCTTCAAGTAGTGCAACTGTTCTTAAAACCCTGCTTTTCAGAATTGTTCCCCCCCATTGACATAAACTCACTGCCCCCTAAGCTTCCTATCTAACCTTTTGAGTTGCTGTTGTCAGTTTGATCCCATATAGATTTTTCTTTAAAGGAGCACAATGCTCAAGGCAGACATTCTTTACTAATTAAGCTATTGTTTCATTCAAAGAAGACTTCAGGAGATATTTTTGGTGTAAGGTTTAAAGATTATCTCAGAGCAATAGCTTTGGGGGTTCATATTCCCTCAATGGCTCCAGGAAGTCTGGATTCCCTGAGAACCAAATAACACTGATTCAAAAAAAAAATTACAAACCTAATATCTGGTGGTGCAGTGGTTAAGAACTCAGGCTGCTAACCAAAAGGTTGGCAGTTTGAATTCACCAGCTGCTCCTTGCAAACCCTATGGGGCAGTCCTACTTTGTCCTATAGGGTCGCTATGAGTTGGAATCGACTTGACTACAATGGGTTTTTTTTTTTTTGGAATATAAATCTTTAGTTTATTTTTACCTTTTTCTTGGGAGAGAACTTTCTTCAAAGGACATATACTGGGATGAAGCAAAGGCTTGCTTCAGAAAGTTTCTCAGCTACGTGTCCCACGCTTACAGGAATGCAGTCAACTCTTAAGAAGCCTATTGAGTGCCAGATGCCTTTCCTATTACCTACTCACTACTCTATGCACAATGAGCAGGATTTGGCCAACTCTGATGAAATGTTTACTATTGTTCAGCTCCGGGACTTCTAACATAATAAGTCTGTGATGGTCCCTGTTCAGACTTTGCATCCTGTTTTCATGACTCTATTCCCTTAATGATTGACCAGGTTGCTTATCAGGAAGATTTTTGGAATCGTTCATCATTTTTCAAGTTCTGCAGCAGGTGAAAGGCTTTAGAAGAAGTATTTTTACTTAGTACCAGTTTTAGTTGTTAAACCTCAGTAGCCTCCTTTGTAAAACTGAGAATAACAGCACTTACTTCATAGGATTGATGTGAATATTTAATTAAATGAGACGCTGTATGTAAAATGCTTAGCACAGTATGCAGCTCTTATGAAACACTTCCTAAATGAGAGCTATTAGAAATAAGGAGGGGTATGAATATCACTAAATGTAATCCACGGAAATCCATTATTGTCTGGACATTTTCTTCCTACAAAATACAATAAAGTGGTTTTAAGTGGATGTTACGGAAGGCAGACTTGGTTACTCTATTGAAAAATTACGTTGTACTCTCTGGTACCGGCTATCTAATTCCTTCTTAAAACATTTCTTGATTAGTTTGTTATCTCTGGTACTTTTGCATTCCTAAGATAGACCAGGTGCCTATTGCTAACTTTGTTGTGGAGATAAAGATAGAAGACCCTATTGGGCTTATCAAGAAAAGACTAAAATCTATGTGCACATGTCAAAGGAAAAGTAATTAATTTGAAATTTCAGTGTCACAGAGGAAAAATGTTGGCTAAGGCAGAATTATCATCATAGTCTGCCACATGAGATTTTCAATCAGCCAAAGTGAGCTAATGTGGAAGAAAACTCAAGCTTTCAGCCCAATTAGTGATATAAAATAATTAGACAATTCTAAAATGTGTAGAGTTTTTTTCTGTAAAACCCATTCATAGAATGCTATAATAAAATTTATTTTAAAACATTGATTTTAGACTGAAATTTTTATAAAAAGTAAGTATAAAGAAAGCGGATATTAAGTAAATTCCACTTTCTGTATGTTTGTAAATACAATCATGATTGAGTAAAGGCATTTTCCCCATTTTAGGAATATCCTAATGCTGTAGATCTTATAAAAGACTTAGAAGATTCAGAGAAATTAGACACAAACACATGATAAAGTCAGAAACAAATACAAGGTGTATGGTTAAGTTTAAGAGATCACCACCTCACTTCCTGCGCCTTGGGAACTATTGCTAGGATACCTATTAATGTACAATCAATCTAAATTGAAGTTGTCAAATCAATACTTGATGTATCACCTCAGAGTCTGAAGATTTTACAGAGAAAGTTATTTCAGATAAAAGGAATTCACATGTGGCATGGAGTCCTAGGGTGTCATAATTCAATTTGGGAAGTCCATGTGTCTTATTTGTAATGTGTTCTTTACAGGTCATGAGTTCAATTTGAAACTTTCTATTCACCACCTTTTTTTTTTGGCTTGGGACTTGAGTCAGCTCATTCTACCCACAAACAAGTTGTGATGAAATACAGTAGGTCTGCTCCAAAGTGCTCTGGCTTCCATTACAAAGAAACATCTATTCTTTGTTTAGCAGGGAAGCATAAGAGATGTTCTAAAATTCTGAGAACTAATCACTGAGTGAACCTGAAAGCAGGGTGTCAGTGTCAAGGACCACTTCTTCCATTTCTATTGTTCAAAGTTAGGGTGTTGTAGAAAGTTCACATACACACAAAAGGATTCATTTGGTTGTACGAGTTCAGTTCAAAAAAAGAAGCAGGAATGTAGATTTCAAGATTGGTTGGAAGAACTGAATATTTGCTAACTGAAAGGAAACATCACACAACTGTATTTATTTTTCTATTAAAAACCTAGTGTTTTGAAAACTTCTTATTAGTTTCTCTGGTACGGTTGAGTTCATAAAGGAGATCTACTCTCAGATAACAAAGTCCCCTGTATTTTATCTGGAATGAGTAATGATAAACTTGCAGCTTAGTTGTTCAGAGAAAGGACTATTTATACGGTGAGTTGATTTGTTTTAAATAAACCCGTGCTCCAAGCTACTACAGTGAAACCTGTAAGAGCTAGAACTCAACAGGCCTGCCTTGTTTTTCAGGCTCTCACAAGCTTTCTGCCTTTAACAGGGTGCAGTCTTACCATTTTTCTATTGCTCTCTATTAGTAGAAAATATTTAAGTTTTCCTTCTCTGACAGGTTTCTGTCTTACTCAGATTCCAGCTTTCACAGGTTTTACTGTATATTTAAGCATTAAAGCAATGTTTGTAGTAGAGCCTCCAGGTATTAGAGCTTTCTTAAGAGCTCTCTGAGTCCTAGCTTTTGAATTCAGTATGTTTGTTTGTTAACATACTTATTGGTAGAGTTCTTTTGCTGGAAGACTGACAGAATTTGTAAAGCATTCATCACAGAATGACTTGAGTGGGCTATTCAGGGGGCAAGTTAGTATCTTAGCTGCTACTCCATCTTTTTTCTTTATTTTACCTAATATGTATTTTTGATTTTGAAATTGATCTGTTTTCTTCCAAATCTTGATGCTCTTATTATTACTGTACATAACTGACACAAAAACACTATGGAAAAACAATTCCATATCACGGAAAACTATGCCTCTTCTTGCCTTGCTTTTCCTTTTTCCTTGTTTTTGATGACCTTGGCAGTTTCAGGGAATACTGGTCAGGTATTTTGTAGCGTGTCCCTCAGTTTGGGTTTGTCTGATGTTTTTCTCATGATTAGACTGGGTTATGTGTTTTTGAAAGGAAGACCACAGAGGTAAAGTGTCATTATCATCACACTGTAACAAAGATAAATACTATTAATATGGTTTATCACTGAGGATATTAACCTTGATCATTTGGCTTGATCAGGTTAGAATCACTTTTTCTTGAAGACCACTAGAGCATTTTCCTGAGGAAGTTAACGATGCATTCATTACAGCTATAAAGAAAGCAATGGGAAATGCGTTTTTGGTTTTTCCTTACTGTTACTGTTGTAAGGCTGCTATACATTTCTGAGTATTTAGACAAAAATAATTTTAGTTGGTGGTAAAGAACATTTTATCTTTTTTCATGTGTTGTAGGTGGGAATGAGATCCCGGAACCAAGGTAGTGAAAGTTCATCCAACGGGCATGTCTCCTGCCCCAAATCCTCTATCATCAGCAGTGCTGATGATAAAAGTCTGTCAGAAGATCCGAAAAAGAAGAACAAATCAAATAGGAAGGAGGATGATGTCACAGCCTCAGGAACTGTCAAACGACACCTAAAACCATCTGGAGAAAGTGAACGAAAGAGTAAGAAGTCTCTGGAGTTATCTAAAGAAGACCTCATCCAACTACTCAGTATAATGGAGGGGGAGTTGCAGGTAGAGTCAAATTTTCTCAACTATTGTTTCTCTAGTTCCTAAACTCTAAAAAGCCTATGAACCTATTGCCCTCACTAGATTGTGGACTTCATAGAGAAAGGGACTACATCTTTCTTGTTCATTTCTAAATCCCTAGTGCCTGGCACAAGTTTGCACTGAATAAATATTAACTGAATGAATGAATAGGTACTGATTCCCACTTCAAGCTTCTGTAGAAGCAGAAAATTTCTTCATTATATGACTTTGGGAATAATTTAATAGAGGTACCAACACTTAGTAGATGCTAAGTTATCTAAATTAGCCATTGACTGCAGTTGAAAATGTATAAAAGTCATGATTATTAGAATGGAAATTTAAAGTCAGTTGTTACTTTTGCTTTTTTCCAGAAGGTAGATGAGAGATAGAAATAAAGAGAGATAGAGATAGGTGTGTGTGTGTGTGTGTGTGTGTGTGTGTGTGTGTGTGTGTGTATGGAGAGAGAGAGAAGGTATGGCTGAAATCAGTCTTGCTGCTCTACTCTTTTCTCATTTTTTAATAACTTTTAGCCTCAATTTTCTGTCACTTCACAGAAGTTGACATGCACACGAATAAGCAAGACATTGCTTTGTGAAGAGCCTAATACTTTCCCAAAGTATTATCAAGTCTCTTATCTCATTAGATCTCAGTTAGAACATGAGTATCATTATCTGGAAGAGGGGAAACGCTAACTTTTTTTGTTTGTGTGTGTGAGAAGATGACTATTATTTTATCAGTGAGAAAACTGAGGTCCAGGAGGGTTAAATGGTTTGCCTAAATCTCAAAAGATGTTTGGCAGAAGAGCTGGAACTAAAGCCCAGGTCTCCTGATTCTTGGTTCTGTGCTCTTTCCACTAAGGAGCCCTGGAGCACAATGGTTCAGCACTCGACTACTGACTGAAAGGCTGGCGGTTCCAACCCACCCAAAGGCTCTGTAGGAGAAAGACCTGGCAATCTGCTTCTATAAAGATTACAACCAAGAAAATCCTATGGGGGCATTTCTATTCTGTCATACGGGTCCTATGAGTTGGAAGTAGACTCTGCGACACCTAACAATAACAAGCTCCTTCCCTTACCAACTTCCGTCTATCAACTTTACCTCATTGCCGTGAGCCAGGTCCCCCTTTTTAAGGCCATATTTTTAGGGATCCAGGAAGGAGTTGGAATTCTTCAAAGTTTCTGAACCATGAACAGTTGTATTTCTGGAAGTTGGGGGACACTAACTTTTTTTGTGTATATGTGAGAAGAGGATGACTTAAGAGTGGAGTTGGTGTTTTTCTTTCTGTTTTTGTTTGATTCTTAGCTTGCATGAGCCGCTAAGGGAATACTAACAATTGCATGAAATGAAACCTTTGTTGGCTCACTGGTGCTGTTGGCATTAGAGAGGTTATTTGCAACCTACCCTAGACTAGGGTGGGCCAGCCTGCCCTGTTCCTGTTCTCATCTGTGTGTGCACATAGATAAGGAACTCCTGGAGAAAAGAAAAATACAAAGCATATAAAATTCCTGTTTAGAAAAACAAACAAATATGATTGAGCTTACCTTTTATGGGCTGAGAAAAATCACATTTGCATTTCACAGCAAGAGATGAAATTTTCCAGAGTGCCACCATGACTAAAAATAGCTTTGTCATTCCCAGAAGTCTGGTTAATGTTTTGCCTACTAACATTTATTGTGTTATAAGGCAGAATATATTGCTTCAGTTTTTTAAACTGCTGCCAGCCCACAGCTGTTGACCTGAGTGGAAGGTAAAATTGTTGCCTTGGGAACATTCACAAAGCAATGCCATCAGCTCACTTTTCCCCTGCCTGTGGTGGATTATGTGAAGCCCATGGCTCTAATTTCTATAGAAGGCTGTTCCTCATGGTAGTACCCTGGAAGATATTCAAGAATCATGTGGTTTTAGTGGTTATGGAGGTGCTAGATACGGTTCCAGAGCCTAGGCATGCAAAATGTAAGCCTGCATACCCAGGACATTAAAGAAATTAGCCAGCAGGCTCCACTGAAATACATTTTGCTTTCCATTAATCTTTATAAATACAGGCTACTTTATCTTACACAATAGATGTATTCCTGACAGCTGTAAATAAGTAAAAATTTTAAGATATTTGTGGGGGAGACAGTGGAGGAAAAAGGAATGAAGGACCTGGGATTTTATGGAATTCCATGGTAAATTCATTTGTAAAGCAATCTCCCATACATACACACACACATATTTGTAAGTATATGTGTTTGAAAATGTGGATGTTGCAATATTAGATTTGTTTAAAATGAGAGTGTTCCTATATTTAGAGCTGTAGATATATGTTCTTGTAGTAGACATTTGTTCTGTTAGCATTGTCACATGAGGGGGGGGGGTATTGTAGCTAAGAGTGGGAGGCAGCTGGCATTAGCAAGTGTGAGTGGGCTGGTGAAAATGTGGCAGCCACATGCCAGCTTTGCCAGCCTAGAGATAAGAAAAAAAAATCTAGAGCTGGTGCTGGGAAGATAGGCATGGACATCACTCATGAGGTAAGTTACCTCAGCTTAGGCCCATATATCACCTGACTTGACATGCATGGAGGATTTAGTGAGTTATCTCCCAAATCTCCAAAGACCACCTATTGTTCTCCCTTTATGGGGGTGTCTGTATGTGACTACTAACCAAAAGATTGGAGGTTCAAACCCACCCAGAGGTGTCTTGGAAGTAAGGCCCGGCAATCTGCTTTTGAAAACCCTATGGAGCCTTGAAAACCCTATGGAACCCAGTTCTACTCTACACACATGGAGTCACCATGAGTCTGAATTGACTCAACGGCAACTAATAACAACAATAACAAATATGTGACTCAAATGCCCCTACTCTGGAGGTGGTGTTCAAAGGTTGTGTAAAATATTAGGGCTGACGGGTACCTTTTGAGGTGTTTTATCTACCTGCTTTATATTACAAATTTGAAACTTGAACACTCAGGTTATTTGATTTGCCCAAGTCACATAGCAATTTAGTTATAGTTTGCTCTAGATTCATTGCTCAGTCCAATGTTCTTCCCATTATACCATTTTATACTCTGGGGGTATTCAAGGGTGGTTGTAGTTCAGAACCTTGATATTGATTTCCTGGTTTCCAGAATTTCTTTGAAGTAGACTCACATTGCAAACTTGGGGGCCAAAACCATTTTGTGAAAAGATGAGACTTTTTAGGTAAAATAAATTGAGGAAAGTTTCTTTCACATGAGGGTGGTGGAATATGATCTGAGCCTTGAAGTTTGGTGAGATCTGGATGGTGAGAAAAGTGGAGGAAGCGGGGGATGCCATATGGCCACACAAGTTGGGCACTACACCACCCCGGAGGCTATATATTCACTACTCTATGAGTGATTTGCGCTGGAGTTGTACAACAGCGTGCCCTTGGAGGATGGGAACTACTGGTCAAAAGAAGTAGGGTAACACAGAGAGAAATGGGCTTGTAATATTTGGGAGATAAGACCAAGATCAGTCAGCCTGTAGGAGATGTGCATGGAAGTAACTTGTGGAAAAGGTAGAGATGAAGGATCACTCAGGCTTTTCATGCCAATTTTCTCCTCAGACTCCTTTTTTGATCTTTCTCATATTCTCCAACTCCATATCCAGGGTTTTGGACATTGTAGGCAATTCTGTGTGTTTTTTGAGAGATGCAACTAGGCTGGTACACCAGTTGCCTGCCACTCTGGAGTCTGTTGAGTGATCTATGGAATTTGTTGAACGAACATTATAAATAGCACATTTACTGTTCGTGTTAACTTTGCAAAATTTGCAGATTTGATTTTTTTTTTTTTGGTTGTTGCTGTTGTTGCCAGTTTGGGTATCCAGTGAACTCCAGAAATGCTCTTTTAATGGACAAATATTAGAAATGGAGTTGCCCTTCCCAGGGAGTTTTGTGTTTTAAGAAGTCTTTCTAGAGCCAGTGATGTCATGACCCTTGTCTTGGGGAGGGAGGTCTTCCAGACCCTTCAAGCCCCACCTCAGCAGATGCAGGTCTGTCATCTCAGCACAATGACTGACTGGCATTGCCAGCATAGAAGCAGCTGGGATGGTTTCCATTATTACACTTCTGTCATTGGCTGCTTCCAATAACAAGTGCTTTCTAATAAATTGGAACATTGTTAATCTCTGGGTGAGAAACTGGTTACATATTTTCCAGACTAACTGAAAGCAAGAAATAGTACACCCAGGCCATCACTTTGGACATCATGATTAATTTCTTCTTGTATTTGTCCAAAAATAGCACTTGGGAGACTCTTAAGAAGCCAGTCAACTTGGCTGTACTAAAAACAATAAAATTTCAAAGGAATCGGTACTTACATCAAAAAGCTATACTACAGAAAACTTGGTAAAAGGATATTCTTGTAAAATTATTTAAAACGACATAGATTAATTCTTTTTCTTGATGGAAAATTTTAGCCATTTTACATAGTAAATTCCCATCATATATTCAAGTGGATATATTTTGGAAAAGTCAATCTCAAATTGAGTTTTGTCTTTTTTCCCTTTGTGTTTATAGTTAATTCTTCACTCTCTGTGCATAAGGAGGTACAGAAAAAATTAGATAACACAACTAAGTAATGCACCACTATTCCTTCTGGCTCTGGTGTTCACCATGGTAAGTCAGAGACAGGGTCACTGACACACTGAGAAATCTATCTTCATCCTGGGTGACTGGCAGAAGGCGGCATTATATTTTAAAGATGATATATGAAATAGATAATATGCTTATGTACTGTTAGAAGCTTCCTGTATTCTCTCCTTTTGGAGTTCGTAGGCATTTTCTTTAATATTGCTCGCTAGTTTCTCTTTACTTCTCTACCACCTACTATAGGTGTGCCTTCTGTCTGCTTTTCTTTCTCACTAAGAGAGAGTTTATCCATTCTCAGGGCTTTAATTAATTAAATAAAAATTGATTAATCTTATAAAATGTAAGGCACATTACTATGCTAAAGGTCTGAGTAATACAAAGATGAAAAACAATAA